TTTCTTTGCAATCTGACCTTGCCACAAAACAGGGAAGGAAATTGTCAGCAGCGATGGAAATTAAGGACATGGTAAATCTGTTTTTTCCACGGTATGTTGCGTGTTATCTCCAGTATCGCTAATTAATCAACGGATACAGACGGAATTGATGCAAAATGGAATTTACTTTAAAAACAAATAGATGAGCTATAGCTGTGTGTTTTTAACTTTCAGTCTGATGAGGAATTTTCTAATAGTTACAAACTCAACCTGACTTTATTCCTATAAAATTCTGACTCCGTGTTCTCGCAAATTTCTAAGCACGAAACATAAGTGTTGTATCCCAAGTTTCGACTATTCGTTGAATTTTAAGAAAAATTAACTTGGAGTCATAAAACATTCAGGATTTTTATCTCTTTGGTTCCAGTCCCGTATTGATACATTCCATTAAAATGATAATACAATTGGGATTTTTGTCAGTTTAATCATCATACCGATACATTTCATTCATGCAGATTTCGGTGTGCATCGTTTTCTGTCGATGGGGATTTTGAATCTGATGTTGAGTTGTGTTTTAAAAAAAAGTTTTCGAGGAAATGGAATCTGATCAAATGATGCAATGCAATTCTTTTTCTAAAGGGTTATTATTCAATACATTATCGTAATGACATGTATTATAATATAAGCGAGTTCTATTAAATACTCAAATTTACAACCATCTTTAATGTGCAAATTCAACAAACTAATTGAATTTTTCAGTATCCATTTCTTGTTACCTGTCGAAACCGATCATTTCAAGATTTCGCTTCAAAAAATAGAAATCATAAAAAGATAATAACGGTGGTAATATGAATCAATGTATATTACCCACTTGATCCCCTGTAAATCTTACTGTAAGTATAGCAATCTTTCTCTCTCTCTCTCTCTCTCTCTCTCTCTCTCTCTCTCTCTCTCTCTGTATATATATATATATATATATATATATATATATATATATATATATATATATATATATATATATATATATATATATATATACGCACACACACACACACACACACACACACACACACATATATATATATATATATATTTATATATATATATATATATATATATATATATATATATATATATATATATATATATATATATATATATATATATATTGATACAAGTTTGATTATGCAAATAAAGCTGAAAATAAGTCACAAGATTCTGTTTAAAACGCTTAATACATGTTAGCTTTAGTTTCTGACTGCTTCTTCTACTAACTCTTCCAGCCGTGACTGAATGACCTCTCCCGCGACATATTCTGACCCTCCTCTGCAAAAGAGCCTGACACCCCCCTTGCAAAATATCTTGCTGACGCCCAGGACATTACCTACGCAAGATATACAATTGTAGTTATACGGTGAATTCCTTTGACAACGGTTACAGCGTAGCGATTTTGACGTTACCCATATGATTTAATATTCAGATTGCACTTTTAACAGATTTTATCCTTGGGGAAAATTTGGCTGCTGACACATTTTCCTCCTTGAGAACGAATTTTTCCCCGATACTTTTCCTCATATAAACATTCGTGACTTGATTTAGCTGTCGTTCCATCTTCAGGTGTGTATATTTTTGTACACTGATAGGTATTGGACAATGTGTAACATAAGCTACCGGAGAATCTCTAAAATTATCCCATCCACACAAAGCCGGTTTGTCTCATTTATCAGGCAGGTCAAGTGTCATATGTGGGAAAATGCTAGGTAATTATTACCTAAATGTATAGAGACCTTCTTCTGATACAAATAAAGCCGCACTGAGATCATTTTTCAAATCTCTTCAAGGTATTGTGATGGAAGATAAGTGGACCACTATCACTTTTGCTTTGCGTAAGACTCTAGTGCTAATGAGGCACCTCTGTGTGAATGCCGATTGCTTGGAATTCTTTTTGAATTTAAATTGATGTATAAGCCCTTCCACCAATATTATATTTTAATTTCACCCCTCCCCCAAACAACACACACAAAAAAACGTTTTTTATAATACCGATCGTAATGCTACTAGGTGGATACTGATAACCATAGAAAGTAATGTACTGTGTTATTGTAGCCTTTCTTGCAATGTTTACTATTGAATCACGGAATCATAAGAATTAATTCTGAGGGCATTGCAAGGAATTTGTGGGCATATAAAGTATCACTCAGAATAATAATTGGTTTATCGTCGGGATCAGAAAGTCAGAGAAAGATCAGATTGGTGTGTATATTTGTGACTCCAAGACCTTTGTTTTCTTTTTATTTAAGACTTATATATATATATATATATATATATATATATATATATATATATATATATATATATATATATATATATATATATATATATATATATATATATATATTCACTACTATACCTTTCAAAAATATTCCTGTACCCTGGAGTTAATACAAAAATGTCTTGGTAAAATTCCACAACGTATGTATTGAACGACACTTTAAGCATCTCAAGATTGCTATATACACGGCAAGTTGATTAAACTTATAGGAAATCAGTACAGCGATTCGTCACCAGTACGTGAAAATTAATGTTAATAAGATACAGGACAGAAAGGTGAATCTTATACAGAGGAGAAAAAGAAATTCCTTCAAATGCATGTAAGAAAAAAATTAATGCATATTAAGAAAAATGAAGTGCAATTATACTAAATGAATAGATCATCGATATTTACATAAAAACAGATATTTCTAAAGGAACCATGGTTAACAACAGTCTTAAAGTTAACTACTAGGCTGCCAGAGCGGTTGACATTTGTTTGATATGAAAGAGAAATAACTCAGTCATTCTTACACACACTATACTTTATTCTTTCTTCTCCATTTTTCTGTATATCTGTTCTCAGTTTGTAACTGTTAAGTTCGCAAGAAAGATCTGTTCTTAACTATAAAGTACTTTGGGTTGTGAGTAAGAGTTCTGACAGAGTATTATTATCCTTATCGTATATAACGAATTATCTGTTGGAACCAGCGGCAAACGAACAAAAAAAAAAAACCCCTGTAATGTGGTCTCATTTTAGTGTCTATGCTGTGTTTTCTGCTGACTCAATCTGTCGACGCGTTATCAGAGATGCAACTGTACAGTTTAGAATTATATTATTTGAATTGAATATAATAATATAGTTGTGAAATTTTTTCATAAATGTTTTTTTTTCTTTGACAAGTGAATAATATGTAGAAAATTTCTCTAGAAATATGATGTCTTGCCTTTAGAGAATTTATTCCCCCAACTACTACAGTAATTCTCCCCTTTTGCTCCACGAGAACGGTAATGTCATCATCCAAGCCAACTAATGTTCTCACTTGTGCCAAAGTTGTGACTGGAAAGAGAATCAATTATATGTGACCAGAACAGTAATGTGTGTGTGTGTGTGTGTGTGTGTGTGTGTGTGTGTGTGTGTGTGATATTTATAGTTTTATTGTGCCTTTAACTATGTTTCAGTCATATCGTTATGATTGTCACATTTTTAAGCACCCTGTTAAATTCATGTATAAGCTATAATATACCTGTCTTGGGAATATTATCGCATCCTTGTGTTTGATCTCTATAGATTGCCGCGGGGATAGTGATGAACTCTTACGCATGGTTACAATGACCAGCCAGAATCCGGAAACTTGAGTGGGCAAAAGCGACTGGTTGCATTAGTTAACAAAGGCTTGCCGTTATCAAACCTATATGTTAAAGTTTAGTTTAAAGATCAAAAGAAAAGTCCTCGGGGTGAATTCGTATCCGTCCACACATGTATAGAGAGCTTGATTGGATCGTTCCACAGAGAAAACGAATCAAAATTGAGATAGATGACGTGATTACAATTCAGACCTGAATGACACCATCCGAAATCGTAAGAGTAATTTAGTATTCGCCTGGAAGGATTGCAGATCATTAGGGTCTACTCCATGAAAGAAGCCACTCGTAATCTGGCGGAAGAACTTAGAAGGTATTTCTAAGGAAAGGCAAAGTTTCAGAAAGGTCAGTAAGTTATTTGCTCGATTTTTGCAGAATATTGCGGCATCATAATTGTAATTATTTGTAGTATGAACACTTAATTACTATGATAGTTTAGTATGTAGAATTACCCTATATCATTTCATTTATATGCCAATTTGAGAAATGGGCTTGTGCCGTACGTGGAGAAATGTTAGATGCGAGGTGGAATTATGTAGATTGTTAGCATGTAGTCAGAATTAATGTTCGGTTACTTTGTAGTAAACCAGTGCATTTATTCGACAGAAGCGTAGTCGTGGGAGTTAAAATGAGGAGGAGGAAGAGGAGTCTATAGAAAGTCGAGGAAGAGGAAAATGAATTTGGAGAAAGGTCGGGGAGAGAGAGAGAGAGAGAGAGAGAGAGAGAGAGAGAGAGAGAGAGAGAGAGAGAGAGAGAGAGAGAGAGAGAGAGAGAGAGAGAGAGAGAGAGAGAGAGAGAGAGAGAGAGAGAGAGAGAGAATGGATATCACAGATGAATAGAAATACAAGAACAGGTGGAAATCAATCTCACACTGCTAATCAAGTGATGCAATAGGCTTATTAAAGGGTCGAGCGGAAGAAGTGTGATTGGAAATTTGAGTCATTTGATTATTGAATTGTTACTAAATTGTTGTTAATTTAATTTCAACTTTTTTATATTTAATTATCTAACCGTCGGCATTGCTGACTGGGGACTCCGAGCTTTACATCTATCTTTCATTAAATTTAACTTCCATCAAAATAGATCCTAGGTGGGTCTTCTATAATAGTTTAAATACAATATTTGGAGCACGCCAGTCCAACCATATAGTTCGTCACAACGATGTCTGCAGTGTGCCAAGTTATATAGTGATGTCTAGCACTGGGCATCATGCGGCAGGCAATGTAACAAGATGTCACACCCAGTCACATTATCGTGACATCAGGTCGACCAGTATTAACACTATCCTCTTAATGATGAGCGCTTAGTGAGGCAGCTGTTAGTACCAGTTTTATAAGTATTTGGTTTGACTACGCCGGGTTCGAAATCCGTAACCTTCCGCATCCGAGGCGGACGCTCTAACCATTAGGCCACTGAGCGGTGAACCTTAATGAAGTTAGGTGTATTTCATACAGAATCAGACTATGTCACACAGAATCAGACTATGTCACACAGAATCAGACTATGTCACACAGAATCAGACTATGTCACACAGAATCAGACTATGTCGCATCCTCTGTTCGAGGAGCTGTGAGCATCCACATCTCAAAAATGAGCTTCAGAAACGAAACAATCCAAACTAAAAGGATGCTTAACAAGGTTCGGTATTAATGAAAGCATATTCACACTTACGGTATTGAAACTAAACGACTATTTATTCCAGCCATGATAATGCAAATTATGGTCACGCATCATATGTACACTGCGACTGATATACAGTTCTTTTTTAAAAAAAATTAAAATATGTTTTGCGAATATAGAAGAGCACATTTCCAAACATAATCGATTTACAGTAATGACGAGTATCAAACACATTTAGGAAAGCACTTATATAACCCACTTATCCAACATTTAAGTTTGTGAAAGCTATTCCCTAAACATTTTTAGCATTCAACTTTAATATGGAGTCCGCTCCTCCTCCAGTAAATGAGTTACTAGATGTGAATGTATACCGTTGCAAAACGGCATGTAAAAACGTTTTTCCAAAACGAAACCGCATGTGCCACGTGATTATATTTAATTGCGATGTACATAAGTACATCAGACATACTGAGACTTTAATTGCAGCTGTGTAATGGTGGAAAAGTGTGGTTGATGTTTTTTCGCAGCATATATTGATGTGGTGAACGTGACATGAAATCATTAAGATTGGCGTATGGGCTAGGCTCGCAATAAATTGGGACCTTGCGATGTGTAATCTATACTCTGGGGCAAGATTGGATTTTAATTAGGACCCGCTAGGATAAGGGTTTGACAGATATGTTAACGTTGGGTCTGAAGAGGAAATGACGAAGTAGAGACAAGCCAGAGATCAATTTCGGGAACTCTATGTTCATTTGAAATAGGTGTCATAAAATGATATTTTCCAGACTTATTATTAGCGAAGACGGACTAGAGAGGTTTCGATGGGTGTATTAAATCCTAGAGAGAGAGAGAGAGAGAGAGAGAGAGAGAGAGAGAGAGAGAGAGAGAGAGAGAGAGAGAGAGAGAGAGAGAGAGAGAGAGAGAGAGAGAGAGATGATTGGCTAAGCTAATCGAGGTGGTATATTTCCAAAACGAAATTCAGTGTTTCAAATAATTTCTCCGTTTTGTGGGACTCGTGAGCAGATTAACATGTAATTTTTCTCATTAAATAAATTAACCAAAAGGCGAGTGTCTGGGAGGTTGAGGACAGAAGAAAGAGCGATTTGGCTTCATAGAAAAGGGAGAATATCTCGAAAAAGCGAAACGTGTCTCCCTTACAAACAATATTCTAACTGATGTAAGTTTGTAATTATTTGTTGATTTTATTCATTTTAAACTTATATATCAATTTCCGATAATTCGAAAGTTAACCGTGGATTCATTGTCTTATATGTTATGCAATTCATGTATTGAAAGAATGTCAAAATATTTGATTGATATGAATTTGTTCGGATTTAGTGGTTTATACGTAATAGAGAATCATGAATTGTGGGAACTTCATGCATTACTCTGATACGAATTGTAAAAACTAATGTATCTGTCTTAAATGATATGTATAATATATGCTAAGAATTAATTTTACTACGTCTATATCAATGAATCGCTATTTAGCAAATAATGTAGTAAAGTCACGACGTGAAGTTCGTTGATTCATTTGTGTAATTAAGCTGTGAATTCTATTACCGAAGGAATTCCCGTGTATAGACCAACATTGTTCAGCTAGTAATTTACAGCACACAAAGGACGTATTACTTTCGAAGAGATCTAGTTATGTCCTGGTTCCAGTTAGAAATGCGGCTAGCAGCTAGAAAAAAAAAAGTCATTGATCTGATGTTAACACGATTTAGTATCAGTATCAGGTTGCGAACTGACCATACTGACCATATTAGCTTAATTCTGTTACGATAAGACGGTATCTGACATAACTTTAGTGGGAATATTGCTCAACGCCAGAATAGAAAAGCCTGACATTTTCATTTTACTCATTTAAAGGAAAAATATATTCAATCCAATGGGAAAGAATTCAGACTAAACTAATTTAGCCGTTGACATGAGAGAGAGAGAGAGAGAGAGAGAGAGAGAGAGAGAGAGAGAGAGAGAGAGAGAGAGAGAGAGAGAGAGAGAGAGAGAGAGAGAGAGAGAGAGAGAGAGAGAGAGAGAGAGCAATATCGTACAATTTGTTTTATCGAAATAACAGAACAGCCAATTTCATTTTGCATAAATTTTGTAATTGTATTTCTAAGAGAAATTGTATCAATCAAATGTCATGTTCAATTTCATGTGTTTATGAACTTTAATATTTAAAGTGTAAAATTTTACATACTGAGGCTCGTGTTGTTCTATACTACATCTCTGCTCAGATCTATGTTATTCCATCCATTAATCCCACACCCTCGCAAGCTGTTATTTTGGGAGAATAACAATACTTTGAATCCTTATACTTCGACTTCTGCACAGACTGGGACTTTAGCGAACCGTACACAATTCCCTAAAGAAGCTTCGAGCAAGTGAAAAATTTCACTGATGGCATTTGTGAATGACAGAATCATTGCTTCTCACTGCAGCAATGTTTCATATACAGTCTAGTCTGAACCATCAGAAAGACTGACATTGCTTTGGAATCTAATGCTGATGCAGACAATACTTTTTTTTGCATCACGTGGTAATTTTTCTCTCTGTCAGTTAAAATAAACTGATTCAGTGCGAGAATTTATTTGAACACTTGTTAAACTATATGCCCTAACCAATACAATACGTAAAGAAGTCATATCTGTGTTTGTCTTCAGGACCATACTGTCGTTTGTTAGCAAACATGTATTTTATTAGTGTTAGTAACTTATAGGATTAGCATGTAGGCTTATATCTGTTTATAGGATCAGTACAATACATGTAAACTTGTCTACGCAATGAACATTTGTTACACTAGGTAACAAAAGATAGTGAAAACCAATGAATTTCGTAAAATTCAAAATGTAATTTATTTCCCTCAAATTGAAAGTGAAAAAAAAAAATAAAAATAACTTTCGGTATGGTGAATGAAATAGTCCTAAGAGTTATACGAGAAGTCCAAATGTGTCGAGCAATCCAAACGAGTTTTAGTGGCAATCCAAATTAATTTCAATAGGCTGGAAAAGTTTGATGAGCTAACAGTTTTTATATATTCCAAAATGTCTTAAGATGAATTCACAATAAATCAATACAGCTACTAAATCCGAAACGTCTGAACACTTGTAATTCAAATAAATAATTGAAATAAATTAATAGATCCACACAACAATACGACTCCAATAAGACTGGTGAATATGCTATGAATTACTAATTTCCAGTTAATTATCCTTTATATGAAAATCTAAGACGCAGTACAGAAAGCAGAACAAGAGACATATATGCATTTCGAAATCATTAACTATAAACAAGGTCAACAGCCAATTAGAAATAAAGTCAGTTGAATGCCCTTTGGGGGAATCCATGATCTTTAACTCATCAAAACGATTACTTCCAATAAAAGTTCATCTCACTATGTTTGAAACTATATACGACACAGTCTTTAAAATACAAATCTGCGACAATTAAAATCACTAGTATTTAAAATGTTAATTGGTAAACGACCATTCAATCTAGAATCATGAAAATTAAAACACAGCATAGACAATTATAACACATGAGTAAGTCATAATCAAAGTTGTCATCTGATTGGTTACAAGGGCTTTAAATGAACACATTCTAAATTGAACAAAACTAGTGATTGGATGCGAAGGAAACTAAAAAACAGCAGAGAAGAGGCCATTCTTGAACAGCTTAGAAAGTGAAACTATCAAAAAGGGCCGTATATATTACATTTTTGCATTTGTAAAAATATATTTGAAATGATATATGTCATATTTAATTCGTAGTTATTTAATTAGTAGTAAAAAAAGATTAAAATATATTAATGTACCTACATTAACAATTATAAATATATATATATATATATATATATATATATATATATATATATATATATATATATATATATATATATATATATATATATAATTATAGTTAAATATATGAATCTGGTCAAATTAAGTACATTAATATTTTTCTAAGTTACCAAATTGAAGAAGCATCAACCCCATCAACAAACTCCAAAGTAAAATCTTTCGACAAAGGGTTCACCATTCATTGACTTTTAATAAAATCTGCAGCTAATTATTTTCTCATAATTTAGCACAGATGAAGACACACTGACGCCAAGTTACCCAATATATTGCTTACAAATGTTTCTAGTCATAACGTCTGTGGAAGCAAAATACATGTGATTTTACTCGTGTGCTGCAAATTAAGTACTAACCCCAGTTAGTGTAATGATTTTACCATAACGACAATTAAAAGGATTCCTGCATGGAATTACGTCATCGTCATCTTTGTAATACTGATAATCACCCTTACCTAAGTCTTGGCATCATCACTGTAAACCGAGTAGTCTTTGTTTTCATCACCGATATCGTCATCGTAATCGTCATCATCATGGTTATTATCAGTCTTGTAATGCCCATGCCCATAAATTAGAAACAGACCGATTGATCGATAAATATTGGAACAGAAAAAAAACAGACAAGTAGAGGGACAAATCATTTAATAGAAATTCAAATCTATATATTTTGGTAACGTTTCTTTTTTGCTAAACTTACATGTAATTAGGGATATTTTTCTCAAGATGGCAATAAATTTATCAAAGTCAAGTTAATTTAGGATCAAAATATATACTCACATGTAGATTAATGCAGAAAAGTTAATTTACTTGTAAATAAAATTCAAATGAAAGTTAATCAGGAAACAGGAGTTAATTTTCAGATAATCCAAATGAAATTTATTCACAGCAAGAAAAGTTAATTTAAAGTAAATAAATTCAAATAAAAGTTAATCAGAAAAA